AAATCTAAAAAAGAATATTTAGAAACCACAATGAAATATCATTGGTTCCATAAAGCTACTGCGACGCGAGTACCTACGGCAACGGCTTCTGAATCGCGCTATCTTAACGGAAAGTATATATTTAGGTGACATATTTAAGCAATTCAAAAGGTCGGAAATTATCATTCTTATTAAAAAAAAATGTCGACTTGGTTTTGAGTTTGAGACGTAGTTTGGCTTTGATATAGATATTTTAGTTGAGATATATAGTTTGATATGAAAAGATTTTTTAAATTTCCGATACAGAAAATAAATACTCCTACTCAAGTATATTGTGGTAACGATAGTGCAACTACGAAACCCTTCCACTGCGCCTGGCCCGACACGCACTTGGGCCTATTTTTTTAAAGTACAATGTTAAAATACACCGTGCCAATTACTTTCAACCCCCTTAAACCAATTTTACACAAAGAAAGAAAATAAATCGTTTAGTTTGTTAAAAAAAATATATTAAATTTTGTAAAGTTTTGCAAGAGCGATTCACGTAGATAGAATAAATTAGCATAAACTAATTTGGTTTGGAGCGATTTTCATACATTATTTTATTCAGCTAGTGTATCTAAACAGATTACTTGGTTTCATCCAAATTTGTGTCCTTAAATACATAGTAGTAATACATATTAATATACACATAAAGTCCATATCTCTAAAAATATAAATTAACGGATGCCTGAATGTTTTGTAATGTATTCTCAAGTATATCTTGAAATCAGCAAATCGTCTTTACCGATGATGATTTTTATCGTACAGAGTAGTCTATCTGAAAACCACGTAAACAAAGAGCATGGTGATTTTATTTCAATTTTACCTACATGGGGTCACGCCCATTTCCCAAAGGGAAAGGCAGACGCAATCCATCTTTCCACCATCCGGACATACTTTTTTTCGCTTTCTCAACATTCATCAATCGCTCCACACATACTGAATGGTTTTTTGAGGTTTTCACGCATCTTTTATTTAGTATGTCACAATTTCATCGACGAATGCTCCCTGCGAACGACTTCTACCCAAGCTTCCAGACTTTAAAGCTTTATCGTCCGTGTCAACACAAAATGGCTTGAATTAATAAATAAGGTTGTCGCAGTAGATATACTTGAGTCCATAATTTAAATCCTGTCGTTGTACAGTTAAGATACTCTTGCGTAACGAACGTTTCTGTAAAATATACACGCTGTTGGTAGCTTTAATATTCGATTTCATACGTTTTTGACTACTCTTCGCTTTCTTGCATCTTTATTAGATTAGCTTTAAGTTTGCTGCTTATTACTTATTATTTCATATTATATTTTTGCCCTTTTTCTATAGCATTTAGCATTTATATATTGTCCATTCTTTTCCTAGATATCACATGTATCCAATATCAAATTAAATTTACCAATGTAGTGTCAATTTTACATACCGATACCGAACACATGTATAACTAAATTTTATCTACCCACCACACGAATATTAGTAAATATATAAAAAGAAAGTATCTACAGTTGATCCACTTAATCATATTCAAGGCTCGAAAAAATAAACTGAATCAAAACTCGAAGCGAGAAAATAATTACATTAGCGACGACAAAACGCAATTATCTAGAATTCCAGATAATCAGCTTACGCATTAGGCACGTTGGGCCTAAGGAAAATCCTCCTTTTGCAAATAATAATAATAATTGATAAATTGGCCTTTTATTTACGAGGGAGGTATGGTATTACCGCAACTATGATGAATCGCCACCGGGGCCGATCTGTCTTGTTTACACCAGCGACGTTGCCGACAAATTGTTTCATTTCCTACGAGGCGAATAGTAATGGGACCTTTGTTTAATGGAGGGAAACATGTGGCCCACTTTGGTGGCCCGCTTTTTCTGCGGTCCACTAACCACGCGGGGATCCATCATGGCTGGATTAATTTACCCCTTTTTGGTAATTATGGTAACGGTTATGGTGGATGTATTGTCAAAATGGTTGGTAATATTTTGTTAGCTACGCGCTCTAGGTAAATTAGATTTTAACAGCAGGTGTTATGCATCAGATTTCCTTTTTTAGCAAACGCTGAATTATTCAACATTCTGAGATTGTTTATTTATGATTCAGTGTTTTAAATATTCTACCTAAGGTAATTAAGTTTTTTTTGCCACTTTTTACTGGGTTTTATTAAGTTTCACCTGTTTCGGTAGCTGTGAGCGCGTGTGTATGTCGGTAATCAAATCTTGCAAGTTGGACTAATTTGCCGGTTTTCATTTGAGCTGAATTGAATATTAAATAATAAATCTAAGAACAATTTAAAGGAATATTCCATGATAATTTTCGGAATCGTTTATTCTCCAATGAGAATGTATCAAAGGAAACCTCTTAAATACGACCACAAAATACAGATGCTCGTCTTCGCTTTGGTAAACATTGCAAAAATACCTTTGCCAAAATTCTCTCGTGAAACTTTTAAACTGTCGTCGTTTTGTTCTTTAGCTTGAGTTTCCCGAGCTCTCCACTGGTACTACATTGTTTTCTTACAGAACTTCGAACAGTGTCCAAGTGCTTTAGTATTGATTTAAAAGACTATCGAGTTCTAAGTTATTAGACTAAGGTACTTTGTTTGCGAATTCGTCCAAGTGAACCTTTTAATGGGGATTCTAAAATTCATTTAGAAGAGTATATCACTAAGTGTGAGTTGCACTACAGAGGCAGTTAAAGAAAAATAATACTATAGTTCTAACCGGCCTTCCTTGAACAGTTATGGTCACTATCAAATTATCACCTCATTTTGACTATCGTCAAATGATACAAACCATTTTTACCTAACCGTACCAGTTACTTTTACTTTAACTGAACAGTTGAAGGAAGTTTAATAAATTATTGAATTGGATTTCCATTTATTAAAGTTCGTGATATTTACCGCTTACGCGTGGACATATACGGCTATAGAACTGAAATCATAATATTTAATAATCCTGCAGGAATACAACATTTGCAATCTGTTTATCAAAATGCGTGATAGGGTTTTAACTATCCAAAATATGTCTAAGCATAGAAACTGTCATATTTATTTGTTAATAGAATTGGATTAGCATTGGATCAGAACATGCTTTTTGGTGTATCAGCCTTGGGGACTAGATATTTTGGTGTCAAACTCCTTTTGCAATAGCAACAAAACTAATCAGAATGCTGCAATTTTATTGATTGCTACAATTTCTAACTTTAAAGTTTATGTTTATGGGCAACTTGCACCAACATGTTGAATTAAACTTAAGTATTAATCCTGTTTATACATCGTTCCACTTTTTTAAGTTAAATAGTGATGAAACAATTAGCTTTTTTATTAATTCAGAAATTTGCTAGAAGTAGGCCTAAGTTATGAAGTATCTTTTTACTTCTTAGGTTTTCACGCACATCACTCAATAAAACTAATTTTTAACGTGTTAATGCACGAAACCGGCGAGTTTGTTTCGCCGGTTCTTCTCAGAAAGGTCTCCCAATTTTTGGAACCGGTGTTAGTTTACGGTAGTTAGGGACAAATAAATAAACTCAAAATTACAAAAAAGAAATTTTAAATAAAGTACTTTATTAACGATTACTATATGAAAGATTACTTTCTTAATTTGCTGTAACTCAGTTTTTTAAGAGCATTGTATAATACTATGTTTTAAGTTATGCAATAAAAAAATGTAAACTCCGATAGCGCAGTATAAACCTTAGTGGTTTTAGATGTTATCGCATGCCATTGTTTAATGATATTTTTAATATGGTAATAAATAATAAAAAAATAAAAAAACTAACTTAACTAATTAATTCATACATAGACTACTAGACGACACAATTAAATAAAAATTGCAGACCTGAATGGGCTGCGAAACGTCAATAAACAAATAAAGTTTCGTGCATTAACCCTTTAAAAACTAATTTTATTTATCTCTTCACTGTTATACGGGTATTATTTTATTGATGTGCATGTAATTAAACCCTTTCTAAACAGCTGGCTGGAGCAAGGTTTTTTTTTATATTAAAAGGGTGGTGAAGAAGCTTATGACACGCCTGATGGTAGCCGTTTATAAGCGGTTCCCATAGCCTATAGACGCTTGCGAGACAATTGATATCACTCGCGGTTAGGATTGCCACCAGTACTTTATTATAAAGTATTGTACGTTATTTCGGGTAATTGTACTCTATACTTTATGCCAACAATAAAGTACGCGAAAATACTTTATTTAATGTGATTTGATTACTCGCGGATTAATTTTACATAAAATATACAAAAAGATGTTGATATGAAGAATTTCTGCGTACAACGGACAGAAAATATGAATATGTTGCTCTTAGCTAATTCCTGCAACATTTTCATGGATGTGTGCCTTTGTATCATTGCGGAAAAAAACTACAGTAGCCGCAAATTATTTATTAAAAGTTGCTAGTAGCAACCTGAAATATATTTTTAAGCTTACTAATAAAGTGGAAAATAGTACTTTATTTTGGACACAAACTTTTTTCTACCTTTATTTCGACAAAAAAAGGGTGGCAACCCTACTCGCGCCGTAGCCTACTCGGACCCCATCCCCTACTCCGTGGAGCTCTGGAACCTTACTCACCGACAGAAACAGAACACCACCAAAAGTTATTATTTTACTGTGATCTTCTGTAAGGTTCTGTAAGGAAGTTACTTCCCCAGACGGGCGCTCCAATTGGAACGGAAAACCCGCTATGCCTTACATCTCTTACTACTTGCACGGTCCCTTAAAATTTTCATTATTTCATTGGACTACATTTCCATAGTGGCTGTTATATTTTACTCACAGAACATGAAGTAAAAAACACAACAGCCATATTTTCATTAGCTGCACAACATAACGACCGAATATAAACTCGTCAAACCCGAGTTTTCGAAAACGGTGCTGTTATCACTCGCTCTCTGATTAGTTTCTTTTATTCCGAGCTCGCCTTAGGCTGGAAAGGGTTTCTTTGAGAGGGTTATTAACGCAGTCTTTGTTTCAGGAACGGCGACCCCTGCCCCAGGGGGCTTGCGGCGAGCAATGGCGCGGAGTAGGGGCGCAGTCTGCCTCTTTACAGTTCATTTTCTCTCCTGCATTATTGGTGAGCTATACAAACTGTAGCTTATCTAGCCTATTATAAGAGTTCCTGTTGAATAACGTTGCAAAGTGAGCTCGATACAACGTTCTGGAGCGAAACTCTGTGAAAGTCAATTGTTTTCAATCTATCGCCAAATCTTCTGTTACAACGATGTCTATCAGACGATTTGTATTCTATTCAGTTTTAATTAGTCTCCTGTCGTTGTCTTAATCAATTACATTTATATTATAATGAGGAGCTTAATGGCAAAGCGGCAAGAGCGTTCGGCATGCTTAACGTGGAAGTTAATTATCTTTCGGAATAGCATGTCATGGGATAAGTGGTTGTTACTTAAATCAATCTATACTTAGCTTCCACGAATTCTCACTGGGCCCACTTGGTAACATATAGCCCATTCTCCTTATTCCGACCAAAGGAGCGCCTGTGTCCCAACATTGGGAATATAACCTATTAGGCAGATGAAGGGCAGATGACGATGATGTTTATATAATTTTAAGACAACGTTATGGTATGTCAATGTCAATGACCAATGAGACTAAGATTCGGGATATATGGAAACCACAATTGAGGAATGAAGGAGCACGATGGCGCAGATAGTTAGCGCGTTTGACCTGCGATCGTGGAATAAAAGCAACTTTCGAAATGGCCGGTTTTAGGATGGGTGGCGAAAGAATTATTATCTCGAGTTCTTCCAAGGTCCCGGCAGTATCTGTAGTCGTTTCCACCCACCAATCCACACTGGGTCCACGTGGTGGATCATGACCCAATCCCTCTAATCCATCCATAGGAAAGGCCTGTTCCCCAGCAGTGACGGCATTAAAAGGCTGAAGATGACGATGATCCAATTTAAATAAAGATAGACTTTCAAATTTGGGTAATGTAACCAAAATACTGCGAAACTATAGAGTCTAATTATTAATGTTTTTTTTTATAAAAGACTTTTTTTTTTCCAATGAGTGATTATTGGGCAATGGTGACTTATATTATTATTATTGTTGACAACACGCGAACAGCTAATTTAGCGCATCTAAGCTGAGCTTTTAGGGTTGCGTAATCAAATGGTGGCAGGCTACGCATCTCTATTAGCGAAACTGCTGTCCGGGTGCTACCGAGTTGAATCTCATGAATACGTGAACCGTCGAAATTTTTGCAAAGTATTCTTATGACTGAAACAGCAACTAACAAACTTATTATTTCAAACAGTCTCTTACTCTAACATGATTTGTGTCAACTGGTTTTGCTCGATCTAGATTTCAGTATTGTACTGAGGTATATTTGTCTTGTTTCTTATTTCTAACTATCTATCTGGGTTGTTGTGGCAATGAATATTTCACTTATTCATGAACTTGAGCAATTGACTTGTAATAAGCAACTTTACAGTAAATAATACGTACCTAGTAGATAGAATAGTTTCGTTAGACTACAGTAGGTACTGTACTATCTATTCTAAAGCTCGTACTCAGCGATATCAATTTCCTTAAAATTTTGTTCAAAGAAAGTTCTGTAATTTTTTGTAATGTATAATTTATTGGCCTGCGCAGACAAGAGACTTTTGTGTGTGGACTTTTTTGTACGCTTACAACTGCATCGAGTAACGCATATGAGGTATTAAAAGTCCCGCGAACAAAAAGTCCCCCGAACAATCGACGACATCAAGAAACCGCACTGGATAAAAGTGCGCGGGAGTCCCCGAAAAAATAGAACTCATGTGATGAGGCGCAGCCATGCTTACAGCGAACTTTATTCTGCGTTGCGCGCTCGATTCGGTTTAAAGAGATGGACCACTAGGTCCAAGAACAGAAGAGAATCAGTATGCTCCTTCAAAACATCTTCTTTTTTTCTTTAAAAACAAAACGTAATCTGAGAATGAGAATATTTACTTACATAACGTGCGCTTCCCTAAAATTTTGGGCAACAAATTTAATTTTTTCACATCGTGTGCGTTGACTCGGTGACAAGTCCTCGGTGGATATTTTATTTTACGATATAGGACTTTTTTGTCTGCGCAGGCTATCAATGTCATTAAAATAATTTAAATTTTCTGAGTACGGCCTTTAGTCATCGATGTGGTGACGGCACTATCGATTCACATTTACATAGTCTACATTTGACTGAATATGTAGCATGTCTTTAATCTATTATAATAGATTAGCTATGACAGCATTTTGTTGCATTGTCAGCATACTACGAATCGGATTGGATATAATAGAAGGCATTCTTATAATTACTTACAATTTTTGATACGGTACCTACATGACATTGTATATGAAAGCAAGTCACCTATACATTTAGTGTTAAGTGTTTATTGTCGGTGTCAACCAACCCCGTCTTTCATTCCGTTGTGATTCATTATTTCTTTGAGATGGTTAGGTACTAACCGCTCTTGGTTTATTCAAAATTGGAAATAAGACAAGCCTTGAAAACAGACAGGGCAATTTCGGAAACTCATAAGCATTAGACTATCAAATTATTATTGGTGTTTTCATATAACGTAGATATTTATTATTTTTATTTTTTAAAGCATATTGCATATAGCGCCATCTATTCGCATTATAGTCCGCGTGATTTTTTTTCTAGTTATATTTTCTTTAGATTTAAACATCAAGAAGTGATATGCTTTAAAAATTATAACTATAGTTGCTATTTCTTCTTTCAAATGTTTAATACTTGTAAAAGTATTCAATTGACATTGTGGGTTACCTATAATGCGAAGAGATGGCGCTGCCTTGCAGCTTAAGAATGGCTAGAGGAATTTCGACGCGGTCCGTGAGGGCCGCGGTAGCATAATTGGTCAGTGCATGCGCCCGGATTGTGAGGGGTGCGGGTTCGAGTCCCGTCTGCTGCCTGGTCCGCGTGAAATTTTTTCTAGTTATATTTTCTATAGATTTAAACATTAAGCAGTGATATGCTTTAAAAAATAAAAATTATAACTATAATTGCTATTTCTTCTTTCAAATGTTTAATACTTGTAAAAGTATTCATTTGACATTGACATTATAGGTAAATGCGAAGAGATGGCGCTGCCTTGCAGCTTAAGAATGGCTAGAGGAATTTTGACGCGGTCCGCGAGGGCCGCGGTAGCATAATTGGTCAGTGCATTCGCCCGGATTGCGAAGGGTGCGGGTTCGAGTCCCGTCTGCTGCCTGGTCCGTGTGATTTTTTTTCTATTTATACGTAGATATTTACCTACAACAGATAAATATTTTACTAGTTTTCTATAAATTCTTTACTTACAACAATATTATTAGATTATTGCTGGCCACAAACTAAGCAAATCATGTACTACGGAAACTAAGTAACTCACACCACCACATGTTGTTTAAGATGACGTGACGTCACTAAGCGCGTTCTATCGTCTGTACCACGGCGAGTGTTCTAAGGAGTTGTTCTCTCTTATTCCACCTTCCCATTTCCTTCAAAGGACCACGCGCGCTGGTTTACGTTGTCACCGTCTAACTGTGGCCACAATTCCAACACGTACAAAGAAATTTGGTGACTCATTTCTTTGTCGCAATTTTACTCAGCTCATTGCTGTCTAGTCTGCTAAATTGGATTGAATTGCAGTGTTCTCGGTTTTTTTTTATTAACACAAGCATTTGGTTGTTTCATACTTCAAACAATCTAAAAACGCAGAGCAAGTCAGATTTTTTTTAAAAGGACTACTACAGAGAAGATACTTTTATTTAACAACTCTTTAACATCAATCAAGAAAATACACCTCGGCGTGTTTCTAGTTTATTAATAATTCTGTCTTGAACAATCGTATCGAACTTCTTAAGGAGTCAAAACAGGCATTTATTAACATAGTCTGAAAACACAGTGCAAATATAATTTACTCGGTATAAACTCTCTGCTTTCCTTACGAGTCGTCAAAGTAAATATTGAAAGTTGTTGTCGATTCATAAATTTGTTATCAAAGAAAGAAAAATAAATTTCAATGAAAATTATATATTTATTTCTTATAAAATGAATAATATGATCATATTAAGTAGATAGTATCGACACGTCCTACGCATCTCTTATCTATTAGACGAGTCCGTCCGTCCGTGGTGCTGTTTTAGCGGCCAAACCGTAAGAGATAGATAAAGAGAATATTTAAGTTATAAGTTAAGAATAGTCTGATAAGACTACAAACCGGATTTGAGTAACGTAGCACTTCCGGTTTTTAAGAAATCACGAATTTCAAACGAAACCACACAAAATCTCCGAAGTTCTCAATTAATTAAATACATTTTTTTTTAAATCAGGTTTTGGTGAACATTTGGTTCACTGGTTTGCTAGTAATTCGCTAACTGAAAAAAACAAGTTTTACAAGAGAGCCGTTTGAAAGTTTTTGATTTCAAAATTGGCATGCAGATCTAGTTTTTTATTTTCTATTTAATAGTGTATTTGACTTTTTTTTATAGACTTTGAAATATAATACTTAAAAAGTGGTGCTTCAGAGCTGAATGGCTAATATTTTGTTCATGTGCCAGATACATTATACACGGGAGAAAATAACTAGCTCCCACAATTAACTGCCTCATATAATGTTATGAGGAGCGATGTTACAGGTGGTTAGCGCGTTTGGCTGCGATCATTAAAGTTAAGTGACTTTCGCAGTGGTCGGTCATTGGATGGCTGACCAAAAATCTTCGTTCTCGAGTTCCTCCGTACTTCGGAAGGCACGATAAGCTGCTATTATATCCCGGCTGCATCTGCAGTTGTTAGCACCCGCCAATCCATACTGGGCCCGCGTGGTGGGTCATCGCCCAATCGCCCTATTCCATTCATAGGGAAAGCCTGTGGCCCAGCAGTGGGGACATAAATAGGCTGATAATGATAATGATGCTGATGTTTTGCATTGGAAATTTTGAAATAAAATCGTATGTAAGTGTATATTCTATAGTTCAAAAAATATTTAAATAAAACATAAAATTTTGTAATTTTATGTAATTTATTTTATATAAGAACTAAAAACAAATATATAAAAGAAATATTTTTGAATATATGAATAATTTTAA